CCAAGGCAAGAGAGAGCAAAGGTTCTTGGTGTGATAGGGACTTCTGCATGAACTGCTCTTTTCCAGCATGCAAAGGACAAGCCCTCTAAATGGCCTTCTGTTGGATACCAGAAGAGATACCCTAGTATATTCAACATGATTCCAGGTACCCAAGAGGAGACCAACCATAGCACAGGGCCCTTTGGGAAGAACAAAGTAACTGGAAATCTTTGTGTGTGGGTAAGTCAACCCCTGGCCTGACATTTGGGGCAGGCCCTGGGACCAACCAGTACTCTTGCAAAATGAAGAGCAATTAGAAAATACAGGGGTTGTGTGTGTGTGTGTGTGTGTGTTGAGACAGAGTCTCACTTTGTTGCCCAGGTTAGAGTGAGTGCCATGGCGTCAGCCTAGCTCACAGCAACCTCAAATTCCTGAGCTCAAGCAATCCTGCTGCCTCAGCCTCCCGAGTAGCTGGGACTACAGGCATGCGCCACCATGCCCAGCTAATTTTTTCTATATATATTAGTTGGCACAATATTCTTTCTTATTTATAGTAGAGACGGGGTCTCGCTCTTGCTCAGGCTGGTTTTGAACTCCTGACCTCAAGCAATCCCCCGCCTTGGCCTCCCAGAGTGCTAGGATTACAGGTGTGAGCCACCACGCCCAGCCAGAAAATACAGTTTTGTTCAAAGCAGTGGTTCTCTCAAACTTTCACAGGCATAAAATTCCATCCCTGGAGATTCTGATTCAATAGGCAAGGAGCAGGCCCAGGGGGCTAGCTATACATTTTTAAAAGATGCTCCATGTGATTCTGTGGCAGGGAGGCCTTAATTTGGAAATAATGACCTAGAGTAGGTTTTATCTTCTTTGGATCATAAGCCTCTTTGTGTGTCCTATTCCTAGAAAGACACACATACATAAAGGACTTTTAGGAGTGTTTGGAGCTCAGATTAATACTTTCATTTTATTTATTCATTTATTTTATCTTCATTTTTTGAGACACAGTGTCTATCTTATCTCCCTTGGCTAGACTACAGTGGTGTCATCATAGCTCACTGCAACCTCAAACTCCTGGGTTCAAGTGATCCTCCTGTCTAAGCCTCCTGAATAGCTAGAACTACTGACACATGCCACCAACCCGGCTAAATTTTCTATTTTTAGTAGAGATAGGGTCTCCTTTTTGCTCAGGCTGGTCTCAAACTCCTGAGCTCAAGCAATCCTGCCGATTCAGCTTCCCAGAGTGCTAGGATTACAGGCGTGAGCCACGGTGCCTGCTGTCTACCTTCATATTAAATGGCCTGGACAAGCTAGGGGTGGGCCATATGGCCATGGCCTTCACTTCTCACTCTGGCTGGCCATTTGGATGGGGCTTATTCTGTCTGGTGCAGAAACACATTTCCCCCAATGTACCAGTGCAGTCTTGGGAAAACCCTCTTCCAGGCTTAAACTGTTTCTGCAGCTGAGCCTCAAAGACCTGTGATAGAAGAGAGAAAAGGGAGCCCAGCTTTTGATAAAAGTATCCATTCTATATTGAGAAGCTAAAAATGAAGGGGCTGAGACTTAGGGGTTTCATGACACTAAAAATTGATGAAATGGTGGGAAGTTGGGTCACGAGGACAGGAAGCAGAGGAGCTGGGTCTGGTTTCTGGGCCCTAAGCAAGCTTCAAAGCATTCAGAGATCTCTAAGTAGTAATTATGGTACCTTTAATCAGAAAGCTGAAGACAGGTCCAGATCCGGCTTTGAGTCTGGGCTGAGAACTGGTGTTGACAGCCGAGCTCTCCCCAGGCAGCGCTGAGGGCTAGGGGAGGGGATGGGGTTGTATGCTGGGAATTAAAAGCTAGCACAAAGGTTGCTCCTACTGCCACAGTGCCTCTTCTCACCCCAAATGCCCCTTGTGACAAGGTGGCACCCAAGTCAATCCTCCCCAGAAAAGCTCAGCGTGAGGGAGGACTTGGTGACATGAAATTTGAAAATGAGGTTGAAATCAAATCAGTTCATTACTTCACCTGAACAATGCCTTTTCTCTAAATTTTCTACCTTTTTTAGAAGTTTCTCCAGGTAGGTTAAGTTGGGTTTCTTCCTCTCTAGGAGTAGGCCAGAGACAGGGTTGAGATGGGCAACTGAGGCAAGAGCACAAAGGCCAGCAAAAGACACAGGCCCTTGCTACTTACTCCTCTCTGAGGTGAAGTGTTGCCCTGATCAGAGGCAGGACAGGCTCTGCCCGTGCTGGAGGCTTCCATTACCGGGACGAGGTAGGACTCTGACCACAAAGGAATGAGTGGTTAGATGGATAATGGGGTCACAGGTGACAGGTGAGGGATTCTGTGCAAAGTTTGGGAATACAGATGGGCACAGTCGCCTTTGGCTATAAGTCTATCCCCAAACGTTCCTGGCCTAGTCCCCTTCTGTTCTTGATGGTGGGTACCCAAAGACAGCAAAGATACAAGCTTTGCTCTTGTTTGCCTTGGGATTCTCATCTCTGGCTGGTTTCTCTATTGCCTGGGTCTTTCACGTGTATTTTGTCAAACTCATCTGGCACCTGGGCTTTGCTGACACTTGACTAGTCTGTCCCAGTCCAGCTTAGTGCATGAGTGTTACCAGAGTGGGCAGATGCCCCCAGAACCTGGCTCAACTAAGGAGTGATGTGGTAGAGACAGCATTAAGCTAAGAACCCTGGAGTTTCACTGGCTGTGTGACCTTGGACAGGTTCCTGGACCTTCCCTGGACTCAGTGTCCCCAACTACAAAAGGTTGGGAAAGCTAAGATCTCCTTCAGTTCAGTTCAAAAATGTGAAGAGACCCTCCTTGCTGGTTCTAGGGTGGCTAAGAAGACCTCAGGGTGCCCGAGGAGGACTGCAGAGAATGCTGGGGCCTTCCCCTTTAAAAACTGCCAGTTATACAGATGTACTAAATATCTAAAAAAAAAAAAATAAATAAAATAAAAAAATAAAAAAATAAATAAAAAAAAAATAAAAAAAATAAAAACTGCCAGTCAGCTGAGAGTGGAACTGTGGCACAGCAGACATATCACTTGGTTTGGGATGAAAGATTCAGTCCTGACTGACTCTTCAGCAAGTTGCTTCCTTCCCCAGGCACTTACAAGAGGGAATGCATTGATGGATGAGACAGTGTTCTGTAAACCATATAATGTTATATAAGCTAAGACCCAAAATAAAGGCTACTTTTACTTTTCTCTTGCTCCATTTCACATATGTACTCTCTACCTGCCATCCTTTGTCTCTGAGTCCAGAAACCCTCAATGCTGGAGGCCACAGTTGCAAATTCAAATGACCACAGGAGCCCAGCAGGTCGGACAGATGAGTGGGAAATGCCAGGTGGAGAGAGCCTGCTTTGGCAGAGATGATGTGGGTTCAAGAAATACTTCATGTTCTTTTTTGCTCTACTTTAAGAAAAACACCAAAAACACTGAAAGCGAGCCATGATGACTGGCGCTGATGCTCTGTTCGAGCCCGGGAGGAGAGGCAGGGCCACGGCGAATGCAAAGCTCCGGCTCTGGCTCCAGCTGCATGGGCAGCTGCTGCTCGGCTCCCGCCAACTGTGGTTTTATGGGAGCTTAGGTTGAGTTGCCAAATCTTTGGATTTTTCAAGAGAAGCCAGAAACTGGGATTTTTGTGTAAAATATCCCGACTTTTAAATCTTGACTACAAATTCATAACACTTAAAAACACTGCTTGGGCCAAAATAAATACATAAATAGGGCAGCTGCAGGCCACATTCAGTACATGGCCATCGGTTTTTAACTTGTGCAATAAAAACACAATGGGTAAAATGAGGTTCTCCCTTCAACACTTCTGAGCTAAGAAACAGCCTTTGCTTCCCCATATGGAGGATTAGTGGGGGTTCTTACCTCAACCCTGCCTCAGCAAAGGGAACCTCTGCTCTGGGCCAGGAGGGCACAAGGTATCAGCAGATGAAGCTGGTGAGGGCCTACGATGCAACTGTGCTCATGGCCCAGGCCCAGCCCTTGCCAAGAATTCTGAGCCCTCCCTGCAGGCTGCCAGAGGCTCAGGCCCCTGAGCCCATCTTGGGACTCTGGCAAGTCTAGAGCTTCACCCTTTGCCTTGTCACTTTTGAGGCCATCTCCCGCACTCCTGGAATATCTCTGGGTAGAGCTGGAAGCCCACAGGTGGGTTCGAGTCCACTAGGCCATGAGCCAGGGGCACAGACAGCCCACTAGCACCCCGGCCTCTGTGCCCCCTGGCCCCTGGCCGATGGACCCACTGGTGCTTGGCCATGGCTGACTTCTGGCCAAAGCACCTGCCACACTGAGGACACGGGTAGGGGCGCTCGCCACTGTGAGTGCGTCTGTGGGCTGCCATCTCGGAGCTCTGGCGGAAGCAGCGCCCACAGTCTGGGCATGGATAGGGCTTCTCGCCTGTGTGGGTGCGCACGTGGCGCCGAAGGTCTGAAGCATGGGCGAAGGCGCGGCCACAGTCTGGGCAGGGGAAGGGGGTCTCGCCACTGTGCACCCGCTGGTGCTGGTAGAGGGCGGAGCTCTGGCTGAAGCAGCGGCCACAGTCAGCACAGCGGTAGGGCTTCTCGCCCGTGTGGACCCGCAGGTGGGTGGTGAGGGCAGAGCGCTGGGTGAAGGCCCGGCCACAGTCAGGGCATCGGTGGGGCCGCTCCCCTCGGTGGGTGGCCCGGTGCTTGCTGAGGGAGGAAGCCTGGCTGAAGCCCTTGCCACAGTCAGGGCAGCAGAAAGGCTTCTCGCCGGTGTGGCTGTAGAGGTGCTCCACCAGCGTGGAGCGCCAGGCAAAGCTCTTCCCACACATGTAGCAGCCGTGGCGCTTGTCTGCTCGTGGGACAGGGGGGTGAGCACAGAGCGGGGGACGACCCCGGCGAGACACCTTGGACGCCTGCTCCAAACCATAAGGGAACCCAGCAGAGGGAAGCTGGGGAGCCTTCAGCCCAGGAGGCCGGGCAGCCACAGGAAGGGTCTTCTCCAATGCTTTAGTCCCTTCCCTTGGTCTTTTCTCACCCTTGTTTCTGGAATCTGCTGGGAGATAAGGGGAGAGCTTAGACCCTGGCTCAGCCTGGTACTTCAATCCCACAACCCACATGGTGACAAGTCTCTTAGATACAGCGCCTTCTGGACCCATGGCTGCCCCAGGGACTCAGTGCAACAAGGAAGCTGGGAGTGACACTTTTTCCTCAGCTGCAGAGACAGAGAAGGGGAAGGAAGGGACAGTACATGCTGCCTCAGAGCTGGGGCAATGTTCCTAGGAGGGAAGGGAGAGATGACAACATCGAGCTGGATCATGAAGGATGAGTGGACACTTGAAGATGTTCCAGCAGGAATGGAGCAAAGAGAGGCATGAATGTGGCCAGCAATAGCGAGTTCATGGGGGCTGGGCACTTTGCAAAGGTCGACAGGAGGAAAATAGAAAACAGGGAAAGCCAGGTGGCAGAGGTGCCAGCTGTAGGAAAACACAGGGAGGTGATGTACAGGTACAGTCCACAGAGTTTAGATGTGAGTAGCCAGAGGCCGAGAGCTGGGCGTGTAGAGGGCGTGAGGCAGGGCGTCACGTCACAATCAGTCACAATCAGAGCCGCTTTCTAGGCTGCATCGGGGGCCAGGCATAACGGCCTAGCTGGGAAGGCAACGCAGGGAAGAAGCTGCTAAGCTACTAGCTGGAGTTGGCAGAGGACACGGGGATGGGCCAGGCACGGAGAAATGCCCATGGAACCGAGGACCCGATACTTCACCTGCGTCCTCATCTATCGGACACTTCGCCACTTCCGGATCCTGGGCATCCAGACCCCACAGTTCAGCCTCTTCCTCCACCCAGGAGATGAGCGCCGGCTTGGTGCCTCCGACTCCTGGCGAGGTAAACGCAAAGCCCGCGCTGCGGGAAGCCCGCCCCTACAGTCCCGCCTGCCGCCCCAGGGACTCCCACTCCACGTGCAGGACCCAGACGGGGCAGGGCATACGGGGATGTGGCCCAGGTCGAGCCTCACCGAGCGCGCCCAGGTGGCCGTAGGTCTCCCGCATCACGTCCCGGTACAGGGCCCTCTGCGCGGGCCGGAGACACCCCCACTCCTCCGGGGAGAAGTACACGGCCACGTCCGCGAAGCTCACTGTGCAGGGCTTCCTCCACTCGGGCCCGGCCCCGTTTGGTTCCCGAGCGGGGAGCTGGGCTAGAGGGGGCGCCATGGGAACTGCCAGCCCCGGCGGCGGGCCAGCCTCCTCCCCTTGCCGAGCCTGGGTCTGCGGAGCCTCCGGCGCTCAAGAATGCCCGGCAGCCTGGGCCCAGGGGTCGGAGGGCTGTCATCAGGGCCGCGCGAGAGCAGGCACCGGCCTCTCACGGGCCAGTAGAGTGGATGAAATCCAAGAGCGGGTGGCTGCAGGGATATAATCAGGACTGAAAGATGCCGCCATAAAAAATGGCGGCAATGCGTCCTCTCGAACTTTGCTCCCACGCAGTCGTGCCCACGGTGACGCCCCCCCCATGTCTACAGGTCGCTTTGTCTTCGCGCCATCACCCAAGATGGCCGCGGCGGCTACAAGCGCCAGCCCCGAAAACCCGCCGCGCAGCTCCAGGCCGGGTGGGCAGCCGCAGGACTCCGCCCGAGTTTACAGAAACAAAGGAGCGCCCGACTGGGGGCGGCCGGCTGCTCAGCCACCGGGAATTCGACGTTAGTTTTTGTCTCTGGACCGTTAATAATCGGGCTCGAGCCCATCACTATCGGACTACCATCACTATCTCGTTCTGTCCTCATTTCCAAAACTGGGTGACTAGGCCGGGCTTGCTGGCTCACGCCTGTAATCCTAGCACTCTGGGAGGCCGAGGTAGGAGGATCACTTGAGCTCAGGGATTTGAGACCAGCCTGAGCAAGAGTGAGACACACAACCCACCTCCGGTCTTTACTAAAAGTAGAAAAAATTAGCCAGGTGTGCTAGTGCACGCCTGTAGTGCCAGCAACCCCGGAGGCTGAGGAAGGAGGATCACTTGAGTCCAGGAGTTTGAGGTTGCTGTGAGCGAGGCTGAAAACACAGCACTCTAGCTTGGGCAACAGAGTGAGACTCTGTCTCAAAAACAACAACAACAGCAAACACAACTGGCTGACAGCAGCCTTTCCCAAAGCTGAGAGTAAAAACAAAAATGGAAAGGATAAGTAAGTTGGTAGAGCCTGAAATTGTAAGTTTGGTAGAGCCTGAAATTCTGGATGTTCCTAGGTCTGGGAAAGAGCAGGGTAAGGTGTGTGGAAGGTCGCAAGGCCCTCTTTCCTACAAGCCTAGTACCTGTCCCCCACATGCCCTGGGGAACGCCTCCCCAACTACTACCGCTTGCTGCAGTCTGACCCTCCAGCTCTCCACACAGACCCACCTACCTCCTTGCTCCTGCAGGGATGTCCCACAAGAACCTAGGACTCTGCATGGCTCAAACGGAACTGCTCCCCCTGGGTCTTTACCTCAGTAAATGTCATCACCTCTCCCCACAAACCTCCTTCTAACTGCCTGCTCTGCTCCCACATCCCTTCATAAATACCGTGCCTTAGGAAGACCTGATATTTGTCTTTTGGCTGGCTAAATCAATCACAGCATTTCACACACTTGGTGAAAAGGACTTCACCTTTTGGGCAGGTCTGGTGTCTAGCCTGGAGATCATCTGCTTGCCTCCTTTCAAAGGCCTCTCCTAGCTTCAACCTGACACCTTGCAGCTGGTGGATGCTTCTCCCCACAGCCAGGGAAGCTGTGAAAATAGCAAGAGCTGGCCAGGCACGGTGGCTCATGCCTGTAATGCTAGCACTCTGGGAGGCCGAGGCAGGCGGATCGCTCGAGGTCAGGAGTTTGAAACCAGCCTGAGCAAGAGTGAGACCCCGTCTCTACTATAAATAGAAAGAAATTAATTGGCCAACTAATATATATAGAAAAAATTAGCCGGGCATGGTGGCGCATGCCTGTAGTCCCAGCTACTCGGGGAGGCTGAGGCAGCAGGATTGCTTGAGCCCACGAGTTCCAGGTTGCCGTGAGCTAGGCTGACACCACAGCATTCACTCTAGCCTGGGCAACAAAGCGAGACTCTGTCTCAAAAAATAATAATATTAGCACTTTACTGGATAAAAAAAGAAAAAAATAATAATAATAATAATAAATAATAAGTAAATAAATAAAGTAGCAAGAGCTGATCACAGCAGAAAGCAGGGAGGGGCAGAGAGAGAAGACAAAAAGCTTGGAAGGGGACAGCCTGGCCAGGGAGAAAGGTTTGTTGGAAGGCAGGTCAAAGGATGAGGATGCAGAGTTTCCCAGGGGGGCCTGGACTCAGCCCTAGCTCTCTCAGCCTCTCAGGCCCCTGAAGGACACAAGAAAAAACTGAAAACTTCCCTTAAGAGCAATGGCATTTTGTCATTTGTCAGCACCCACCCCTCAGCATGGTGCCCAGCACCCCCAGGCCTAGGTAGAGTTCTGGGTAGTGTTGGGAGCTCTCCAGGGGTCTGGACCCTCCTGGGGAAGAACCAGGGACAGAATTCGCATCCCTGGGGCTCAGCCCCTGACACCCACGGCACCAGGTCAGTGGGCCCGCTGGCACCTCAGTCTGAAGCACTGCCCACAGTGGAACAGACAGAGAGTACCTGCCCCTTTGAGCCAGCTGGTAGCATGAGAGGCACTCACTGTGGGAGAAGCAGGCATTGCACTAGCTGTCCACAAAGGGTCACTCACTCCCTGGAAGACACTGAGCCAGGCTGAAGGTATTGGTGAAGCCTGACCATGCTTGGCACAGGAATGAGGGTGCCAGGAGAGTGCCAGGTATTAAGGCCAGGTGCAGACTGAGGCCTTAGGGGAGGCCTAGTTACAGGGAGCCTTGGCCAGAGGCACAGGAAATATGTGGGTTTCTCTGATCCCAGGGCTTACGACAACTCCCAAATGGATTCCCTTTGCTGGCCCCTTCCAAATGTATCATTTTTCTGAGTGGCCATTGGGAAGCAGCAGATTCAAAACTTATCTCTAGCCCTGTCAACTCCCCAAGGCCTACCCTATGCAGGTGACAGAATCAACCTTCACAACAGCAGAAGTATTCAGATGGCTACCTAGGCCCTAGAACCCACCCCCCACCCCCAGACTGTGCTGGCCAATTGATCACCAGGCAGGGAGATTCCCACTCACCTCAAGGCTAACCAGATGAGCAGCTGTTATCGGGCCTAGGGGCCTGGAGAGGTAAACTGCCTACATCCTGAACTTTCTATTTTTCAATAGAGACAGAGTCTTACTCTTGCTCAGGCTGGTCTTGAACTGAGCTCAAGTGATCCTCCCTCCTCAGCCTCCCAGAGTGTTAGGATTATAGGCATGAGCCACCATACCCAGTCCATCCTGAACTTGAATTCACACACTGCCACTGAATTGGATGATTCATACAATGTGGCCTGACCATGGTACCCCTGGATGTCTCAAATCCAATTAAGAAAGAAAGAGAAGGTCAATCCCAGCCTCCAGTAAATGTCAAAAATTCACATTAGCAAAAAATTAGTGTCACCAGCAACAAGGAACATGTGGTTAGCGTTTCTTGCTCAACAAAACATTTTTCTTTCTAGCTGGAATGGGGACATCACCCCCATTTCTCACCTTTCTGGCTTCCTCCTTCCTGGGGATCCTGAGCGTTTATAGCCCCCAGCTGGGACTCCTCCACCCAGGAAATGAGGGCTAGTTTGGGGTCTTGGAAACCTGGGGAAGAACACTGATCACTCAAGAAACATCTAAAGACTACCTATACATTCATTTGATGAAAATGTACTAGGCACCTCTTTGCAAGCCAGGCATTATTTTAGATGTTCTGGGTGTTGAAGACATTGGTGAACAAGATAAAAGTTCTTGCACGATAAGTTTATAGTAAGCTAGGAGAGAGATATACAGGGTATGAATTCAGCTGGCACAGTTTGGAGAAGACCTTCTGGGCAGATCGTACTGGGGGCTACACAGATAGAGCCACAGTTGTGAGGAGGCGTCTAGCATGAGAGACAGAAGGCTTCTGATGGAATTTCTTGGAGATAGCGTTTGAGGGCATTGAAGGTTGGGTTAGATTTGGAGGTGTAGGTAGCCTATATAGATCACAATAGCAAAGGCAAAGGCTCAAAGGCTTGTTAAGGTAGAGACAGTCCAGAGAACAAGGATTCCATTTAGCTGGAGCTAAATGAGATCGCTTGCCTGGAGGGAAAGATTGGGTTTGAATTTGAGATTATTGAGCCTTGAGGGCCGTTGTGGCAGCCTCCGAACTTTTTGCAAGAGGCCCTGGGGAGCTACTAGAGGAGTGTAGCAGGGAAGGCTGTTACAAATTTCAGTGAGGCTGGTGTGGCAGGATGACAGGAAGTGGAGGCCTGGGGCAGGAGTGGGGCGATTCGGTCACCTATTCCACCCATCCGCTTCCGTTTTCAGAGATCTGAGCCGGTTGGGCCTCACCGAGAGCGCCCTGGCAGCCCTAGGTCTCCCGCGTCACGTCCTGGTACAGGACATATACAGCCCTGTGCCGCAGACACCCCCACTGCTCCAGGGAGAAGCGCACAGCCAGGTCCGCGAAGCTCTCAGCCCTCGGGCTCTTGCCCCTTCTGGGTCCCGCCAGCCTTCCCAGGTACAAGCACAGGGAGCCCGGAGGAAGGCCAGGGGTGAAGCCACTGGCTCCTCCGTTCCAAGGAAGGACGCTGGGGATTCGGCTTTGGGTGGCGTGGGGGGATTCGCAGGGCCTCGGAGATAGGAAGTAGCTTTGGGTGGCTCCGCTTCTAGGACAGTGAGAAACAGCCAGTTCCACGAACTCGGTGGTTCTGGGGGCCAAGAAAACAATAGCGCCCTCAGAAAAGATGGCAACACTCTGGCCTCTTTTCATGCTAGAAAGACTTT